CTCTGCAGGGAGAGGCCTTGTCACTGAGCCTGTTGACCTGAGTTTGAGTTCCAGGACTGATAGAGTAGAAGGAAAGAACTGACTCCTGTAAGTTGGCCTCTGATCTCCATACATACACAACAGCACTCATGTATATGATAGACACACATACATATAGACACACACAAATACACATACATACAATAAATAGATAAAATGTAATTTAAAAATCTAGGTCCAATTAATCTAGGATTAACTGTTACCCAAATCAAAACTCTAGGTATTTTATTAGACTACAAAAGCCATTCTGCAAATTCAGACAAATTGGTCTTCATGTTATTACAGTCATAAACTCACAAATTCTATTTCTACCTCTGCAAGTGACCATAAGCACAAAATTAAACTTCTCTGTAACAAGTTAATGCCAGCTCCCTTGCTGTTAGCATAGAAGATGGTCACCTCTCTTAGGGTAGCAAAGGGATTGATGAATTAATTTCTAGTAAATTCAGATTGTTTGCAGAATGTACAGGAGATACAAATGATTGGAAAAAGTCTCTGTATGTATCCACATGTTATTTTATTGGTCCTGTTTCTCCTTTCAAATGAACATGCATGAGCAATCTACAAGGAAACAAAGAAATTGAAACAAATGAGTACCCAAGAACAAATCTGAAGACTCAGCAAATATTCTGAATTCCAAAAACACATTTCAGACCCAGCATAGGGGTGCATGCGTTTAATCCCAGCACTTGGGTGGCAGAAGCTGATCCCTGCAAATGAGTTCCAGAAAAGCCAGGTCTACATAATAACACACAATAATCGAAAAAGTTACTAAAAGCATCTCTATAGTTTGCATAAGCTTCCTTATGCATTTAAAATACAAACATACAGGGGACCGGAGTTACACAAAAACTTTAGTGTATTTCATAAGACCAAAACTGTTTAGCTACTACTACAGGATAACAATATGGAGGTTCCTCACAAAATTAAAATAGCACTATATGATCCAGCTATACCACAACCAGGTATTTACTCAAAACATTCTAAAGAAGCATATAACAGTATACCTCACATAGAAATGTGTAGCACTAATTCTAATTGTTCTTAATAACGAAAACTCAAGAGTCAGATATTAGGGTTAATGCTAAAGATCAAAGAAGCAAAGCAACCAGCCACTAGGCAATTTTCTCTCTCTCTTTTTTTTTTTTTATGTTTACTGTTTTATTTACTTTTCTTATTTTACATGCTGATCCCAATTCCCTCTCCCTTCCTCCTTCTCTTCTCCCTCCCTCCCTCTCATGCCCCCCGACCACCCTCCCATCCCATCCCCCATACCATCCCCCACCCCACCCCCTGGAAGGCATCACTAGACAATTCTTAACCTCTACTAATGCTCAGACCAAAGGAGCGACTCTTCCCTCAGATGGCATCCTTAGACTGCTTAGATGGCACTGTTCCTCAGATTGCACTGCCCCTCAGAATGCATCTCCTTCCTGTCTCCTCCTGCCTTATATTCCTTTCTCCACCCAGCCATATCACTCCTGTCTCTACTTCCTTAGTGCTGGGATTGAAGGTGTGGGATCCCAAGAGCTGGGTTCACCTTTGTATGAGTTCTGTTTCCCTTTTAGACATTCAATTTTATGTAGACCAGAGTAGCCTTGAACTCACAGAGATCAGTTTGCCTCTGTCTCCTGAGTACTGGGATTAAAGGCATGTGCCACCATTGCCTGTCTCTATGGCTAATTAGTGTGGCTCCTGGAAATAAATGTGTGTACCACCACTGCCTGGCCACTATGGCAAACTAGCGTAGCTAGCTTTGCATTCTGATCTTCAGGCAAGCTTTATTTATCAGATCATACACAAAACATCACACAGAAATGGTAATGGGAGTAGTTTCAATTCCTAGCATGGACTATGGCAACTCTTTAAAATTAAGAATAAAAATAATTCTGGGAAATAAATGCCTTATCTAGTAATATTGATGATCAGTCATGATTAGACTGTTTTAGAAAAAAAGGAAAGATATAACTTTTCTGTGACTTCAAATGAGCTTATACTTTTTAGTTTTTTTTATTTGTTTTCAAGACAGGATTTCATTGTGTAGTCCTGGCTGACTTGGAATTCAACATGTAGGCCAGGCTGGCCTCAAACTCACAGAGATCTGCCTGCCTCTGTCTCCTGACAGCTGGAATTAAAGGCATGTGTCACCACACCTAGCTGACAATTTTGTTTTGACTGAAAAACATAATCAGGTATTTTTTACAAATGAAAGTTTGTAGATAATATTTATGTTAAAATAAGACCACTGAACAGGGAGATTGTAGTTTGATGTCTCAGAGAGATGAGATTTTCCTATTACAATTCATGTATGTATATATTATGTAAATATCATATTGTCCAAATAACCTCCTTATATGAGTCAACCCCATTTTATTATGTCCATTTATTTTGTTTTATTTTACATATTGATCCCAGTTCCCTCTCCTTCCCTCCCTCCCTCTCATTTCCCCTGACCCTCCTCCCATCCCATCCCCCCCCCATACACACACACACACACACACACACACACACTCCACAGGGAGGGTGATTCTTTCTCAAGTGATAGAACTGCTTTGCCACTAAATATCATATACATTAGTAAATAAATAATTCTATAAATGTAACTTTAGCCACTGAATATACCTTATATTGCCACAGGACACTGTCATAATCAGGAAATTGATATTGCTATAATATGGTTACCGAAATACCTCTAATCACAGGTCATTAGTGAGAAATTCATCAGTATTAAACCTTAAAAGTCACATTTCAACTCCAATTGACCTACTTCAATCACTGGATTTCTTCAGTTTGAGGATGTTATATAAACAGGATCACAGTATATTCAACTCTATGAATCATAGGAATTTTATGCAACATGATGCTCTTGAGATCAATTAAGATTGCTGAAAAGTACCATTAATTTCTTTTTCATTTTAGTTTTCTATTGTATAAATCAAAATAAACAAAAAGCTATAAACTCATTTAAAATCACACATAAAGTTTTCATTCCCCTCTTTTCAAAAACAACCTAATTATGACTGATCATCAATATTTCTAGACAGGGCATTTATTTCCCACTATAAAATATTTGGTTTTACCAGTTTTGTGCTTTAAAAAAAAAAGTTTATGAACATTCACAAATTGGTTTTCATTTAAATTTTTACTTCCATAGGGTAAAATACACAAAGCTTGGTCATTTATTAAATCCATGTTTACTGTTACAAGAAAATACAAAAATTTTCCAAATAGCTGTACCAGTTTACATTCTCATCAGCAATACAGACAAAAACCTGAGCCACATATGTGCCAAGACTTGGTATTAGCAGTATTTTCTGCTTCACTTACTCAAATAGGTGTGTATTTTACTGCAGCCTTGATTTGTAATATTATAATGGTTAATGATAAGAACAATATTTATGTGATTACTGACTATCTACATGCAGTCCTTAATAAAGTCCCTTTCTGTATTTTTTGGCAATTGTACAATTGAATAATTTCACTATTTTCAGCATAGAGAATGTTTTATATATCTTAAATACATCTCTTTTAGGGATGTGTGATCTGAAATCTTTCTAGCCTATTGTTTTATCTTTTCCATTCACAATGGTGGCTCACAAAGCAAAACTTTTTACATTTTATTTTCTACTCTACTCTGTCAAGCTGTTCTTTGTGAATTATGCTTTGGATAACACTAGCAAGTCCCTTCCCTTCTTTACCATATCTTCTGGAGTCTTCTGGTATATGATTTATTTGTTCTGTCCAGGAGTCTCTGTTGCAATGTTATTATCAGCAAACAACAACAAGAAAAATACTAGCAAGGATATGGAGAAAAGGTAAGTGTAAACATAGTTGGTAGGCATGAAAATCAACACAGCCAAAACACTGCTAAACCAAATGTGCTTACTCCATATTGCCTAGAATTCAAACCTAAAATGAGTTGTTTGGTTCATCTTGCTCAGAATTCAATTCTGCTACTTATTTCTAGTGTATAACTATGCACATCTTATCATTCTCTACTCTGTGTCTAAATGGTTTTATTGTTGTTGGGTTTTTTTTTTCTTTATTTCTTTATTTTGGATTTCGTTATCCCTAATGGCCAAGGTACTAAAAACCTAGTTCCTTGCTGGTGGATCCACTCATTGAGAGATAAGAGGATCTTGAGAATCACTGATCCACTTGATAGATTATCCACTGACAGATTGATCATAAATTTAGAAAAATGGGCCTGACTGAAGAAGTAAGTCATTGGAGCAGTGCCTTTGAATACTATATCTTGTTTTTGGCACCTTCAAATCTGTTTCTTTTTGCCTGCAATCTGCCCTTTTCTTCCATAATATTCTTTCTACCAGGATGCATTATTATGCTCAGGCCCAGATGCAATAGAGCTAAGGAGACCATGAACTGAAAGTGCTAAAAACCATGAACCACAATAAATGTCTCTGTTTTGATATCTTTCTTTATGTTGTCTTGTCACAGAAATGACAAGTAACTAACATAGGTTTCTAATAAATTTTCAGTTACTTTCCAGACTAACAAAGTGTTACATATGATACATTCTTTAAGTAGTGCAAGAAACCATTAATACAACTTCTTGGCCTAAACCACTCTTAAGAGTGGTTTTATTATCTTAAGATCATAAAAGTTAGGAAATTCTCAAGTTTTTAAATCATTCAGTAAACACCTGTTTACAAAAGCATATATGCACTTGTAACTTACAAGACAGATAAGACTCATTGTTATAGAACTTCAATTCTAATGATAGTAGGATAAATGTGCCACATGTCTTAATATATGAAAAATGTGTTATGTGTAGGTTCAAAAACTTCAGTTTGTTACATTTCAACTGATAATCAGAACATTCATTTAGAAACTGGAAATAATTTTTAAATTTTACACTGGAGAACTGGCACCAAGGCAGACTTTCTTTCACTTGGTACAACAGAACTTTATTGCTCTTTAAATTATTATGAACTACTTACCACATATAGTTGTTTCCACAGGCTGGCCCATTCTTGTAGAGTTGTTGTAACTTCTGTCACAATAGAATCTTCAAGTGGAACCACAGTTTCATACTGCCTAGAAACAAAAATCACCACAGCCACATTATCTTTGATAAAATACTAGATGCCACTTGCTAAATTTGTCAGTGTTCTAAACTCAAATTTTAAAAACATGAAAATGTAAAGAGAAATACAACTAACTGTTCAGACACCTTTGTATAGTGATAGTATACAATGGTATAACTGGGCTAAATTAATGTAAAAATATTTAGTTTTGTTACATAATTTCCAATTGCTTTTAGAAAAGCTGCCTAGAGAAAGGGACAAGATCTCCCAAGCAAATTGGGAGCATGGGGAGAGGGGAGAGGGAGTTAGGGAGAACAGAAGAAGGGGGCATGACAGAGCAGGAAGATTGAGTTAGGGAAGAATAGAAAAGAGCAAGAATAGAGATACCATAATAGAGGTATAGGCTTTTAGAGAAATCTGGCACTAGGATAATGTCCAGAGATAGACTAGGATGACCCCAACTAACAATCTAAGCAACAGAGGAGAGACTACCTTAAATGCCCTTCCCTGATAATGAGATTAATGACTACCTTATATGCCATCCTAGAGCCTTCATCCAGTAACTGATGGAAACAGAAGAGGCACCCACAACTAAACACTGAGCCAAACTTTTGGAATCCAGTTGCAGACAGGGAGGAGTGATTGGCAAAGGTGTCAAGACCAGGGTGGAGAAACCCACAAAAACAGCTGACCTGAACAATGGGGAGCTCATGGACCCCCAGACTGATGGACCAACCCAGATTTCCTGAATGTGGTGTTAGTTAGGAGGTCTGGGCAGTCTATGGGGCCTCTGATAGTGAATCAGTATTTATCCCTCCTATAAGAATGGACTTTAGGAGCCCATTCCACATAGAGGGATATTCCCTCAGCCTATATATGTGGGGGATGGCCTGGGCCCTGCTCCAAATGATACGACTTTGAAGACTCCCCCATGGAAGGCCTCATTCCCCTTGGGAAGCAGAAAGCAGATAGGAGAGGGGTGATGGGGGGAACAGGGGAAGATGGGAGGGTACAAGAACTGGGATTGATATGTAAAACAAGCTTATTTCTAATTTAAATTTGAAAAAATTAAATAATAAAAAGAAAAGCTGCCTAGAAAACATTGGCTTTTTTGTTTGTTTGTTTGGTTGGTTTTTTTTTTTTTTTTTTTTTTTCTTTTTCTTTTTAGTATAGTCTTAAAACACTAAGTGTTTTTCTTCTAGAAAAACCATAACTAGGATACAAGGTGTAGTCTAAGAGATTCAAATAAAGTCCCTCACAGAAGGGGGAAGGGACAAGTTCCCCAGAGCACAGGGGAAGTGGGGGGGGGGCAAGGAAAACATGTGCAACCAGGAAGATTGAGCCTGGTTAGGAATAGAAGATAGGAAAGAGAGAGAGAGAGAGTCAGAGACAGAGAGAGAGAACATAAAAGAGGGAGCCAATATTGGTTTGAAGATAAAATTGAACACAAAGAAAGGTCTAGAGAACTACAAGACTGCTGCCAACTAACAATCTCAGCTTCCGTGGAAAGGCTATCATAAATGCCCTTCCCGGAGAGTGAGATCAACAACTAACTTCTCCATGGAGCCCTCAACTAATGCCTGTTGGAAACAGGAGCAAACACCCATACATAAACACTGAGTCGAACTAGAACCCAGATGCAGATGGAGAGGACAAGACCAGGTGGCAGAAACACATACAGACAGCTTACCTGAACAAGGAGGAGCTAATGGCCACTAGACTGACAGCTGGGAAGCCAGCATGGGACTGACTCAGGCCCCCCTGAATATGGGTCTCAGCCAGAAGTACTGAGCAGTCTAAGGGACCTCAGACAGTGGAGCCAGGATGTATCCCTGGTACACAAAAGGACTTTGCAAACACATCCCTCATGGAGGGATAACTGCCTTAACCTAGAGACAGGAGAGAAGCCCTAGTCCCTACTTCACATGACCTGTCAGATCTACATGACCCCAACTGGATGGCATTCCCCTACATATGGAATTGGGGTGGGGGGAATGGGAGGGGAGGGTGGTTAGAGTGCATGTGAGAGGGCAGAGAGGGTAAAAGGGAGGGAAGGAGAGAGGGAGGGAGGGAGGGAGGGAGGGAGAGGGAACTGGGATCGACATGTAAAATAATAAATTAAATTAAAAAAAAATGCTTTGACTCCAAAATTTAAGTTCAAGGACAAGTTACTGGGGAAAAGGATTTCTATTTTTGTTTCCTCAGAAAATGAAAAGCTGTGGATTCCTTCCAGACTAATGTGGTTTGATCAAGCCAGGCCGCCTGAAACAGAGTACCAGGTGATCCTACATTCAAAACAGCTGGACAAAGCAGCCTTACAGACTACAGCCAGGATTTCTGCATCATCTTAGAATCCCCCATGACAGCGCCCCTTACCAGCAGGAAGTAGTTTGGAAAGAACGACACACAAATTCCCAAATATTGTCTATAAATGTTTGTTTTCATTTAAATGGACTTGGTTATATAAAATAAATAAATAAATTTAAAAAAAAAGAAAGAAAAACCATAACACTATAAAGCTCTTGCCTAGTGTGGTAGTTTGAATATAATTAGTCCCCATAATTCATAGGGAGTGGCATTTTTAAAAGGTGTGGCTTTGTTGGAGTGGGTGTGGCCTTGTTGGAAGTGTGTCACTGTGGGGGCAGGCTTTGAGGTTTCCTATGCTCAGGGCACTGCCCAGTGTTGCAGTTGACTTCCTGATGTCTACAAGATGTATGACTCTCAGCTATTTCTCCAGTACCACATCTGCCTGCATGCCGCCGTGTTCACTCCCATGATGATGATAGACTGAATATCTGAAACTGTAATCCACCACCTCAAGTAAATGTTTTCTACTTATAAGAGTTGCCATGGTCATGGTGTCTCTTCACAGCGTTATAAACCTACTAAGATACTTAGGTAATTAAAAAAAAAAAAAACATTTTCTATATAATGCAAAGCAGTTCATACACTAGGCTAAAAGATCTGAAAGAATTCAAAGTCCCTAACCCACTGCTTAGTGATGGCATTCTTCTCCTTAAACCAGACCTGTAAGACTGGAGAAGGTGACTTTACATTCAAATGAGAAGACAGAAATGGAAAGCTTCAAGGAACACGCACACACACAAATTAAAAATGATACAACTGAAGTAATAAAATAACATACTAATAATCGATACCAAGTAAAAATGAAGACATGAATTTCAGAAAAATAATTCAAAATTATTGTGTTGTGAAATCTCATTAGCTAAAATAAACAGGAGCTGGCTGGCAGAGCTTGGTATGTGTGGGTGATCCAGGCTAATGCCACAAAAGACAGTGAAAAGGGAGACCTGTGGTGATATCATTTGTACAAGTAAAGCATATCTGAAGATCAGAGGGTGAAGCTTGCCATTAGCTACCATAGCCACTAGCTAATCAGAAAGTGAGATGGCTGGGCAGAGAAAGGAAATTGGTGGGAAGAAGCAGGAACTCGTTCTCTTTTCCCCTGGAAGTTAGTGTGGTAAAGGTGGCTTTGGTTGGCTCCTTCCTCTCTCTGATCTCTCAGCATTTTCCTGCATATCTAACTCTGGGCTTTTATTACTAAGACCTATTAGAACTCATGTTACACAGACCCATTCATATGAGAGCAACATGCCATCAGATTTATATCCTGTTGGACAGAGAGCATTTTCTTAATAGGTAAAGTAGCTTCCCGTTATATGTAGAACTAAAGAACCAGAGAGATTATATGACCCTAATTAAAGGTTGTAGCAGACTGTGACATTAATGAATTAAGCTCAAAACTAGACGATGTGTTTAGCTGCCATTTGAACAAATGACCTTAAGTAGAGATTAGGTCCCAAAAGGTCTTCTGTAGGGAATATAATTTAATAGTACTGCATTCACTCAGGACCTGCAAGGAAGGCCTAAATAAGTCAAGCATCAAATGTGCCTATTCATTCTACTACAGACAGATTTAGGCAATAAGGAAATAGTCTGTGTTATTTCCTACTTTAATAATAATAATAATAATAATAATAATAATAAACAATCTTGACCCAGAAACATTCAAGGAGATAACATAATTAATAACAAAACAAATGTACAATATAAACTATCAGGTCCTAGAATCGTTATACATAAGTAGATTTACTACAGATTCTTACTATCAGATAAACATCAGTGAAAGAACTGAGGATCCTAAAAGAGGGTTATGCCAAAAGATAAACAGGTATGAAGAGGGACTCTGCACACTGCTATGTTATAAAAAGAAACATGAAAACAATGAGAAAGGCATGTTTTAAAAATTGTACAAGGGACATAGATGTAATAACATCTGTTATGACAGACTGTTATCAATGGAAGATTAAAAGATCTAACCTTAACATTATAGAAAGAGGAAGACATGTCAGCAATATGAATACAGAAATGACACACAAGATAAATAGCAGAATGCCATTTCTTTAGAACCTCCTCTTTTTTTGTTTTGTTTTTTTGTTGTTGTTGTTTGTTTTTGTTTTCAGCTACTTTAATCACTGGCATTTTTTTGAGAGACATTTTTCCTATTTTAAAGTTCCAAAATTTCTAACATACTGAAATATCTATCTTTCTTTTTTGTTTGTTTTTTGTTGTTGCCACCACTGCCTGGCCTGAAATCTATACTGTCAACCTAAATTAATATTTATTTCTTTTAAACTATAATATATAACCAATGTATTTATGATTCAGAAAAAGTATAATATGTAGACACATTATTACATAAACCAAGTAGAATGTATTTATAACACTACAAAAAAATGCACCAAATTACTTAACTGAATCCAAAGGAACCCCAGGATCAACAGATTTTGAGTTTATGAGAATGAAAATTTGACAATGAAAAAATACAACACTTTCATTACATGGATATTATACAATCAGCTGCTTGGTAGAAGGAGAGGTGGCCTTCAGAGAAAACTCCCAGGGCATCAAGGTAAACATTCCTAAGCATTGTTTAGTATCTAAAAAAGAGATAAAGGGAGGGGCAGGGAGAAGGAAAACATCTGTATT